TCCACTACAGCACACTGGGGATCCATGTTTAAGACAAGTTGATGTTTAAATGAAGGTATAGAAGCCTGTGCTGCACAGGGAGTCGTAAGATCGAATCCACGCGATGGAGTGAGCTCTCGTCACTTTGTCCCAGCTCCTCGCCAACCTGGCAGTTCGAAAGCATGCAAATGTGAGTAGATAAATAGGTACCACCTCGGTGGGAAGGTAAAACAGTGTTTCCTAGTCACGCTGGCCACATGACAATGGAAACTGTCTTCGGACAAGCGCTGCCTTTACGGCTTGAAAATGGGATGAGCACTGCCCCCTAAAGTCGGACACGACTGGACTGAAAATGTCAAGGGGAACTTTTACCTTTACCTTTATAGATGCTGTGGTAAAAACGTTCCTTAGAACTGCCTTTACACGAAACAGAGAGGGATTCAGAATGATCTGTCCCTATTGCCAGCAAAATCGGGTCCTGTAATTTTGCCCTAGGCGACTTCTCACTCCTTCACCCAAGTCTGTCTCGATTTTAAATAAACAATCTGGAAGGTCTGCTCTTCATTTTTATTACTTTAGGACCCTAATTTGGTAGCGTAAACGCGGCCAGATCAAATAATATATTTTTAAAGTAGCCAATTTTACCATAGTAGCTGTGGTCTAAACAAGGAGCCAACTTACAGACAAATTGTCTTTTTATCTTTTATTAAAACAAGATAGCATACTAACATTCATACTACAGCATAATAACGTCATTAATTATTTCCAATACCCCAGCTTTCACCACCAGATATTTCCTCTATAAAATGAAAACAATAAACAGTCTAACTATATCTTAAATTAACATTCTTACGCAGTCTTCAAATTAAAGTTCTGCCAGATGCATCTCTCGCTGTGTGTCGTCTCTGGCTGTCGTGCAGGCAAACTCTCCCCCATCTCTCTTCTCCGTCCTTCTCTTTCTCTCTTCGCCCATCTTTCTTAAATTAAGCTGTTGTGTCCTTGTCCGTTGGAATTTTGATAAGATAAGGGTCATCTTGTTCTTCTTTACTTTTTTTTTCTTCTGCTGGAAAAAGAACTGACCTTGTACAATTTTTTCTTCCTAATTAACACCTGGACATCAGTTAGCTTCTAGTTGTTTCGTTGCTGTAATGAAACAAAATCCATCTCTATTCTACTTTTACAATTTTCATAATCAAATTCATGACAGATGCAAATCCCAGGAAACCCTGCAATTCTTCGTGACTAAAGTCAGAGAAACAGGAGTGGAATTTTCCATCATCTGGAAGATGTCTTACTGGAATTAAACCAATCCCCCCCCCCCAAAAAAAGGGCAGTTTTCGTTAATGGGGCAATGTAGCAGCAGCAGCTTTCTGCATAGCTGACTGCAATGCTTCAGGAAGAAATTGTTGTTCTCTGAAAACTATGTGAATTTTCTTAGAAATTCACAACATCAGCACAGAATTATTCTGAAATTTACTTTGTTCACAATGCCGAAGCATACATATTCAGGTCACCTTTTTATACTTACTAGGAGCATTTAACACTTCTTTTACAAGTGATGCACTGTAGATTAGATGTGAGGGGAAAACATCTATGGTATATGCTAAACTGTTCAATATAGAGCAAATTAAATAGTAGGCACAACTTGACCATAACTATGGCCTCTCTGCTTCTCATTGAGATGGTAAATCTATGCCTAAGCTCTACCACTTCAGAATTCAGGAAAAGACATGGTTTAAAATTTCTCCTTGGCGGATGAGTGGGGGGTTACTCATACAGCAAACTAGATATCACAGAGGAGTTTAGGTTTATCTCATCACAGAGGCATTTAGGTACCTCTGACATGGTGATTTTCTATCTGGAAGGTACTGTATCATTATTCTGTTGTGAGTAATTTTAAGCCAAAAACTTATTTCTTCCTCTTACAACTTTTGCTCCCAGAAATACAAATTTTTCAATGCTGCATACCTGAGACAACAAACATGCAAACAAAGCTATATCAACTGATCCATTACAAAACAAATGCACATTAATTTCCCAGATGCATAGCTAGGCAAGTTGATGAATAAATAGACATTCTTACTTACAGGCTTGCTGCTTCTGCATATAGAATCAGCATTTCATCTAGTAAAGTCCTTAAAGTCTGCTTCATTTTAATACAAAATCAGGTCAAACTGGTCAGGTCAGAGATAAGGCCAAAAGAGCCATGCCAAGAAAGCCTGTGTCATGCAGGGTTCTGTTTCTCACTGTGAATAATCATATGCCCATGGGTTAGCCAGAAGAGAGATGTGAAAGCAATAGACCTCTTCTATCTTTGTACCACAACCACTGGTGTTGGGAGACATGGTACCTTTGATCTTGGAGACAGTTTACAGCAGGCTTGTCCAACCTGCGGCCCAGGTCGGCTCATAATGCAGCCCAGTGCAATTTTTTATTTTAAAAGAAATTCCAAAGTTTCAAGTTACACTGCCGGTGCTTGCGGCTGGAATGCGGCTGGGGCACGTCACAACGGTGGGGGGGAGGAGAGAGGGAAGGAAGGAAGGGGCAGGAGGGGAGGGGAGAGGGGGGCTGCGTGACTGCATTGCACCATCCCCATCAATAGGTGGACCCCCTCCAGGCCCCATAAAGCCACCAGAGTCGAAGCTGGCAGCCTCTGCTGTCTGAGATCGCAGCTACCAGTAAGCGCGCTTGGAGCGGGGCTGCGATGAATGGCTAGGGCTGCCCCCCCATGCGGCCCAAACCAAATTTATATGTGGCCCAAAACCAAATTTTCATCTTCTAATGTGGCCCAGGGAAAGTGAAAGGTTGGACACCCCTGTTTACGGTATAGCCATTATGATGAATAGCAGCCACTAGGTCACCTGAACACCCCTGAATTTGTCTAATTGCCTTTCAACATCATCTGCATTGGTGACTGCTCCACTTCCACCTTCTAGAGGCGAAATCCTGTCTAACCAGGCAGTCAGAAGTGGAAAGCACTTCCTTCTAATTCAGTTTCATTAGATGACCCAGGGGTGTGATCTCTTAAGTCAGGGAGAAAAATGTATCATTCTTTACTTGCTTGATAAGATGTGCAATATTATACAACTCTATAATAGTCAAACTGCCTGTTAACTTTTAGGGAATTTGCTCCAGACCCTGATCATTTTCATTCCCTCTTCCTGCATTTCTCTCATCTCTGCAATATTATTTTTGAGATACAGTAACAAATGAAAAAAAATAGCTATTTTCGAAAAAATTGAAAAAAAGAGCTTGGTGGGCATTTTGAACCAGGATACCCACCCTTCATCCCAATTCTCTGTAAAAAAAATCATCTAGAGGTTTTATTAGTTAATAATAATAATATGGGGTCAAGTCAATTCTGACTTTTTTTTCCAGGGTCTTCTAGATAGACAAATCCAGAAGTGGTTTACCAGTCTCTTCTGAGAGCATTCTGGAATGGTGCAGGTAGCCCAAGGTTACACATGCTGTCTCTTGAGATGGGGAATCAAACACCCGGTTTCTGACCCTGCAGCAGATACCTAACTGGTGTAACTACACTGTGTAGAAAACCCACTTTGATACAAAGTTTTTTCAAATTGAATCTCTATTAGTTTCCACAGGTGAAATCAGTGTAGCCATCCAGATGAATAGGAACAATTATTGTGTTTCAGGAATCAGCAGGGAGAAGGGCTCTTTTCATAGTGCTTATCTGTGACAAAACACTTACCTGAAGTATTGCTAACTTCGGAAAAACATGTTTGCTTCTAAAAAGAGGAAGACTGAGTAGTTAAGTGGGGGGAACGGGGACCTCTGTGACCACCCTTTTGCATCAGATCAGGTGATTACACAGAGCAATTTTCTTTGTCAGAGAAAAGTGATGCCAGCCAAATCAGAGTAAAATAAATTACTTGTGCCAACTAAACGAAAAGAGACAATTTCCCACCGAAAAGAAGCTCCATGGGGCTTCCACATTCTTTGCTTTATGTCTTGTAATCACTGCTTTTTAAATCAGTTTTATTTGTGCCAAATCCAGTGGAAACTGTGGTATAAATGGCTATTGTAGTCACCCCCTCACTGAGCTAAGAGTGTGAATTAGCTGTTAAACTAGTAAAGTATTCTTAATACATTTTAATATATTTTCTGCTTAATGCCGTGCATGGGGAAAACAGTCCTCCCTCTATACCATCCCCCAGTCTCATACTGGGATTACTTTTAGCAGCCCTCCCAAATTACATCATGTTGTTGTCTTGTTTATTTCAATGTATAACCCAGGTTTTGGAGCAAGGGATATTCAAGGTGACATATATATAGTAACAATATTAAAATTAAAATAATAATTGAAAGCTTTTAAACTAAACTTTCTTTGTTGGTCTTAATTCCCAGAGCATCTGGGGATATATTCTTACCAGGATGAGATTACTTGACTCATTCTGTTGATCTTAACTCTCTGCACAATGTTAAATAATGTTTTGAATAGCATGGAGGAGTGTGTGTTTGGTTGCTTTCATTTGTTTGTTTGGAAAAATAGAAAACATTCTCCTTCAATCACCTATAAAGAAGGTTTTCCCCTCAAAGTGTAATTTTCATCTGTATACAGTCTTTTTATTCTCTCTGTATCCTGTTTTATTATGGTGTCATTATCTTGTAATCCTGCTGTTAAGTATGATATATCTTCCAAATTAGCTAACTTCCCTTCTTATTCTGAATTCTGCTAAGCAATATTCCATATAGTTTTAAGAGCACCGGTAATATAAGCATTTGTGCATTGCTGTCCACTTCATCAGAAGCTGCAGCCTATGAAAACTTTTATTAAATAAAACAGACCTGATAAAAGGTGTAACAAGATTCTTTGTCAGTTTTCCCAGAACTAACTACAGACTAACCAAACTACCCTGCCTCCGATTGTTGATAATAATATAGTGAAAATTTGATTGTACAGAATTTAATAAACTGTGCATTTAAAACATCTGCTTTCCTCACTTCTGGTCATGTTCATGCTTAGCACAGTGATACGGTCTTAATTTTGTTCATTTCCACAGGCAGGAAAAGTTCACTTTGGCTACGTTTATGGCATGAGTGCAATTGGGTGCATAGCAATCCATGCTTTGCTGAACCTGATGAGCATAGCCAGTGTTTCCTATGGATGTGTAGCAAGCGTCCTGGGTTACTGCCTGCTGCCGATGGTGATCCTGTCCACCTATGCTGTCTTTTTCTCTCTGCAGTAAGTATGGTCATCTGAAATGCCAAATGGGCAGCATGACTAGTACGGGAGGGGTATTAATAAGAGACTGGTTGAGATAGGCAAGGAGAGGAATAAGGAGGTAGAAGAATGGTGGAAACAGCTGCCTCACAGAACAAGGGCAAACGTGTCCTCACTGCTCAGTCTACAAGTGTTGGTAGCCGTGGTGGCTTAAGAAAGTAAGATGTGTTTTTTGGATCACTCTAAAGGTTTGTTTTGGTCAGAATTTCTTTCCAGACAAAGCCAGTCAGATATTTATGTATCAGTAACTAGTATATGAGGGTGACCGTCATCTTTTAGTATGCATAGGTGGCTGGTGGACTAAGGGGATATCTCCCTGAGAGCAAAGCTAACATGTGGGCCACTATAACTGATGTTCCTGTCCAGGATTACAGCTAGCCTTGTGCAGCGAAGGGCTTGGTTCAAGTTAGTTTTTTAAACTTTACAGCAATCATCCTCATCCCTGCTCTAGAATGGCAGCTGTAAACTGCTCCCTCCACCTCTGCCCTCTATTTTCTTTTCCCACTTTTCTGTTACTTTATATGTTCTCTCAGCCATTGAGTAATTGATAGACAAACCCTGGTAGCTCAGTGGACCGTGTTGAACATGTGCGCGTGTGTTTAGTGCAGATATAAATATGTCTATGTCTATCTATCTTTCTATATTTTGAACAGCCAGGAATTTTCCATTGTATTTAGAAAGTTCTTTTTTAAAATGAACTTGTTTCTCATCTATAGAAAGTAATGCTTGACCACTCGAGTTCCATATTAGATGGGTTTCTCCACCATGAATCTATCTACAGTACTCTATTTTCAGAAGTGCAAAATGCTCTCCATCTTTCTTTCTGCTTCATTGAGTGTTAAAGTGGAAGTTACGGAACAGTTCAGGAAAACAGCTGCTGGGAATGAAAAATACCTACGGTTCTTTGGGGGGAGGGGGAAGCAAAAAGCAAAACAGTTGCCCATAAATATATTATGATATCATTCTCAACTACCACCATGACCTCCTCCGCTGTGGCTACTTAATGGCTCACCCCATGTTTTCACTGACTGACTAAAGCTTGTCTTGGCAATTATCCATACAATTAAGAATTTCTTGATTCTCTGGTATGCCAAACATTGTTTTTGCTGAAGGAGCTCTTCATTCTGTCTAATCTCTGTAACAAGGAAAGAGCTTATAGCTTAAAAAGCAAATTTAAAAACAAAAGACAGCGAATACATCTCTTAAAATATTAGAGGTCTTAAAAGTAAAAAGCATTATAACTTTAAATAATCTTTAGCCTTAAAACATATTAAAAATACACACAAAGAAAAAATCTAAATAAGGTTCTTGCCCTTCCAAGCCACCATGTGCTCAATATTCAGTTGAATTCCTGAATATTGTCCATACCTCCACCCAGTTTGTGAACGATCTATTCCTGCAGGGCTAGGAGATCCAAGAGAGAGCCTGGAGAGCGAAGAATAATTTTTCAATAGGAATCTCAACTGTTCCTACACCTCTGTTAAATAATATCTTGCAAGCTGCCACTATGATGATAAAGTCATTCTTATGGATAAAAAATTTTGGGGACAATGTCCTGTAGCATAAAAGATCTGGAAATCTAGAATCCCAGGAAAGTCAGAATATTACAACAACATAATATTTTAGCTCCAAGATATTGGAACTGCAAAGTGTGCCTACCATAAGATATGCAAACGCCACCTCTATATTTACAGATTATAACATATATAACATAATCTGTAACATAACATAATTCAGCTGCCAGGATTGGCTGGAGTGCTAGCTATTTATTTTGAAATAACTATAGTAAACTATTGTTCAATCCTCAATTTTAAAAGCACTTTCTTTTCCATGGCTACTTTTTGTATACCTCCCTTAATTATTTTAACACTCTATACACAACATTTCAAACCTTGACAAGCTGAACACCAGATGGAAGGTCACTTGAAGAAGAGTGATAAATAGCATCTGACATCCTCAGATCAAAAAAAGAAAAGTCACAATGGCAAATTGGCAGACATCATCTTCTCTGCTGAGGCATCCTCATCAGCTAGGGCCAAGTCTGGTCTGCAGATTATTCACATAAAGAAGTGATAGAACTTTTCCAAAAAAACATGGTGTCCCCTGCCCACTGTTTGAGGCAAAAGAGAAAGAGTTGACTGAAAGCTGAGTTTGGCTTATTCTCTGAGAGAGCTGTGTTTTGGAAGAAAGAACCTAAAGGGGACCAAAAATGCAAGTGGATGTGAACAAATATTTTTTTTTTCTTTTTACATGCTGTCCTTCATTTCCTCAAGGCAATCATTAGGCATTGATGAAATTGTTATCAGCTGTACTGAGCCTGTAAGATGAGGAGGAGATAGGGTATAAACATGACGAACAAACAAATAAATACATGCAATGTGTCTGTTTTCTTTCTGCAGTGAGTAGACACAGCAAGCATATCATTACAACAGGACTCAGCTGGTTTACTAGGTATTCCCTCTACCCAGAGAATACTGGCAAGTGTAATGCTGTGAAAGAAACACATGCTGGAGAATACTAATGGAGAATCCATGGCATCCTCCCTGAAATACAATTACCAGTACTCTGTGGATAAAGCTACATTAGTCAAATTGGTTTTGTATGTCTGTATGCATGTATGCAGGTATGTAGGTATGTAGGTATGTATGTATGAATGTAGGTTACCCAGAGAATACTGGCAAGTGTAATGCTGTGAAAGAAACACATGCTGGAGAATACTAATGGAGAATCCATGGCATCCTCCCTGAAATACAATTACCAGTACTCTGTGGATAAAGCTACATTAGTCAAATTGGTTTTGTATGTCTGTATGCATGTATGCAGGTATGTAGGTATGTAGGTATGTATGTATGAATGTAGGTATGCATGCATGCATGCAGGCATGCATGCAGGCAGGCAGGCAGGCAGGCAGGCAGGCAGGTAGGTAGGTAGGTAGGTAGGTAGGTAGGTAGGTAGGTAGGTATTTTTGGTAGAGTTGATATACCACTCAACTCTGCAGTGCAAATATTGCATCATGCATACTTTCTCTTTATCTGCTGCAGGTTTCTGCTTCTCCTAAAAAATGAACATTGCTGAGGTTGTTTATCTTGCAGTTGTAACAAATGAGCAGCTCACTAATTTACTACTTGCTGCTTAGTCTTTTGAAGCTGCAAATTATGGAGTTGTTTTTCATCCAAATTGAAAAATGTTCCCGTATGCCCTGTCCTCCTTTGTTTGTCCTGTCATCCTACAACATTTGCTGGTAGCCCTCCCCTATCATGGCAACCCTGATGAATAGGAATCTTGAGATGTTTTCACTTTGGTTTCTTTTATTATCATTTTTTCTTTTCTTTTTGTTGTTGATGATGGTCCTACAGGGGAAGTCTAGGAACTGTGCTAGCTCTGATTATCATTGGATGGTGCAGCCTCTCAGCCTCCAAAATATTCACTTCTGCTTTGGCAATGGAAGGTCAGCAGTTCCTGGTTGCCTATCCTTGTGCTTTACTCTACGGTCTTTTTGCACTGATGACGGTTTTCTGAACTTTTTTTCTTTTTGTTGTTGATGATGGTCCTACAGGGGAAGTCTAGGAACTGTGCTAGCTCTGATTATCATTGGATGGTGCAGCCTCTCAGCCTCCAAAATATTCACTTCTGCTTTGGCAATGGAAGGTCAGCAGTTCCTGGTTGCCTATCCTTGTGCTTTACTCTACGGTCTTTTTGCACTGATGACGGTTTTCTGAACTTTGGCCTTTCTGCCCCATCTCTGTATCTAGCTGCACAAATCAAGACAATGACTAGATGAACTCTCAGAGGTGCTCCCAGTGTACGTTCGGAATAAGAATTTGTCTCATACATAAGGCTTGATGTATTGCACTTTTTTCTCTGAATGTTTCTCTTTGACTGTTTAGGTGATGTTCTACACACATGCAATCAGTCACAGGATTGTTGTTTCACCATGTTGTTCTCAAGGAACACGCACAAAACATTTAGAACATGAGGGCACCAGGATGGAGAAGGCTGTTGTACACCATTACTAATGGCAGCAATCATATATTCCATGCAGCAAGGGGGCTAGGCTTTTGCAAACAACACATTATTGCACATGCCCTAATGCTTTTTTGCAGCAGAGTGAATCAACATTCTATGAGACAATTCAAAAAATGTGGGCAGCCCAAATTTTAAAAAAATGTACTTTTGAAACTGAAGTTTGAATCTGCACCATATTTGGCACAGATGTAACAGACAGTGTGTTCTTTCTCTGTGCCAAATATGGAAAAGATTGCACAAAGGAATTTTAAGTTATGATTTTTAAAAAGTAAAATTATTTCTCCTCTATTCAGAAATAAGTGAATCTAAATGCCCCCAGATTTAAACAGCTCATGAAAATTGAAAAGACCAATCTTGCTTATATTGAAAAAGAATGGTTGGCCCCACCCCATTTTTTGAATTTTTGGAAGGGCTGCAGGAGCTAAAATACAGATCCTCAAAAAAGGTCTTTCAAAAGGGAAAACCAACCACTTTGTTGTTAGACTGAGTATGTGTGGGGCATGCTTACCAGCTACAACATTGCAAAGTAGGTACAATGTTGCAACTTCATGTAGGACAACGTAAAGGTAACAGAAACAGAGTAAAAAGACAGGTTTTCTTTAAAGAGTGAAAACCACAGAGTTGCTTTAGAGCAAGTAATGGGGAGACAGTTCTCAAAAAATACATTTTGCCATGTATGTCCTGGGAATTTGCATACAATTTTGTAAGGCATATTCAAAGTATTTTTGCATTACAGAATCACAGAGCAGTTATGTTTTTCCCAGCCCTGAGGGCTTTCAGTAAACAATATCTCAGGATTTCTGAAACTAGGTTCCTGATGTAGGTCTTCAAAGGGGAAATCATCTCCAGGACTCAGGTAATTTGAAATTTTGACCATGTCAGTCAGGGCCCATTTAATTCACTCTTAGGAGGAGAACATTTAACATCCTTCCTGGCCAAGCATGCATTTGTGCTTGGAAAGGAATTCTGAGTTAAATTGTAAAAATATTTTAAAAGATATTTTGAAAAGAATAGAGAACAAAAATTCAGAAGTTGTGAAATTAGGTTTTTTTTGTTTTTTGTTTTTTGTTTTTGTTTTTTTTTTGCTTTGAGGCTGGAGATGGTCTTTCTCATTGTTAGCAGAGCTTCGGTGACTGTATCCTGTTATAGTTTCATCCATTCCACCCATCCTGTTACTACATAATTGTCTGGCAATTAAGAAAAAAAAACCCTCCAAAAATGCACTATCAAGTCACTTCTCAGTAATATTGTCTTTTCCAATAGGCTCTGCTCAGTTCTTGCAAACTAATAGCTGGGGCTTCTTTTATTGAGACAACATCTCTCATGTTAGGTCTTCCTCTTTTCCTACTGCTGCTCCCCTCCCCACTTCCCAGCAATATTGTCTTCTATGATCAGTTCTACATTTCATTATATATGCATGGCAGGATAGCCTCAGTTTACTCAGTTTGCTCTAGTGAGAGTTCAGGTTGACTCGATTCGGCACCTGCTTTTCTGCCTTTCTGTAGTATCTATAAGGCTCTCCTTCAACACCACATGTCAAATGAGTTGATTTTGTCCCTGTCTTTCTTCACTGTCTTTCTTTCACATAGTATGTGTGATTTTGACCTTGGTTTCCACTGACAACCTTTGCTAACTCCCAGCTCTCCCTTTTTTATTATTTCAAAAGGCAAAGGGACATATTTTGTAAAACACATAAACAACATATTAGTAGAGCTTTTGGTCCAATATAGCTCTTCTTCCTCAGGTTATATACCCCAAGGAAAGGTTTTGGAACCTATCCGGAATTGGTCTAGGTGATGGGCCTCCCTCTAGTATTTCACCAGACGAATTTGCAGCATTTTTAAAATCTAAAGTGGAGGCCATCCATTTCTCCCTTTTTGGATACAGTGAGTCAAGCAGAGATGTCCAGCGCTCCATCTTGCCCGGTGAGAATTGATCATTTTCAGCCAGTGACACCAGAGATTGTGGACAAGGCACTTGATCGCTGTCATGCCATCTCCTCATCTCTTGAGCCTTGCCCGGCCTGGCTAATCAAAGCAGCCAGGCCAATAACAACAGAATGGGCAACGGCGATAATTAATGGGTCTTTCCTTGAGGGCAGGGTTCTCCTTGCCCTCAAGGAGACACTCATTAGGCCCATAAGAAAGAAACTAAATTTGGCGGTGGACGATACTGGCAATTACTGGCCTGTTGCCAATGTTTCTTTCATTAGCAAAGTGGTGGAGAGGGTGGTGGCTTCAAGTGCACTTGGATGAAACAAATGCCCTGGATCCATTCCAGTTGGGCTTCAGACTGCACCATGGTACAGAAACGGCATTAGTCGCCCTGTACGATGACCTATTGGGGGAGGCTGACAGGGGGAAAAGGTCCCTGTTAGTCCTCCTCAATATCTCAGCTGCCTTTGATGCCATCGACCACAGTATCCTCCTGAGGAGGCTCTCCAAGTTGGGAATTGGTGGCCTGGTGTTTGCTTGGCTCCAATCCTTCTTGGAGGACCATCCTCAGAGAGTACAGATTGGGAGAAGGGTTTTGGCCCCATGGAGCCTCAATTGTGGGGTTCTGCAGGGCTCGATCATCTCCCCAATGCTGTTTAATATCTATATGAGGCCACTGGGAGAGGTCATCGGGATGTGGGGCATCATGCCATCAGTATGCTGATGACACACAGCTCTACTTCTCCTTTTCTCCAACTACAGTGGATGCCGTTCTGTCCCGTCAGCGCTGCTTGGAGGCTGTTCTGCAATGGATGCAGGAAAATGAGTTGAGGCTGAACCTGGACAAGACGGAGGTACTGAGGGTGGGCAGTTCCACCATCAGTGGTTTGGGAAACTCCCTCTCTTTTTTGGGGGGGGGTGACTCTTACCGTGAAGAGTGAGGTTTGTAGCTTGGGGGTCCATCTGGACCTGGTGCTCACCATGGAAACCCAGGTGGTGTCAGTGGTCTGCTCCTCCTACTTCCACCTTTGGCGGCTTGCCCAGCTGCGTCCGTATCTTGATGCTGGGGTGCTTACCACTTTGGTGCACGCACTTGTAATCTCGAGATTAGACCACTGTAATGTGTCCTATGCAGGGCTACCTTTGAGACTGATGCGGAAGCTTCAAATGGAGCAGAATGCGGTGGCCAGACTTCTTAGTGGGGTGAGAAAACACCATCATATCTCTCCCACTTTGGCCGCATTGTACTGGCTGCCCGTGCACTTCCGCATTGGATTCAAAGTTTTAATGATGACATACAAAGCCCTAAACGGTTTAGGACCTCACTATCTGACAGAACGCCTTCTCCCACCAAAATCTACCCGTATCACTTGATCTATTCAGGAGGTCTGGAAGGAAAAAACAAGAAACCGGGCCTTCTCGACAGTGGTTCCTCGGTTATGGAATAATCTACCTTCAGAGATCCGTATGGCCCCCCTCACTGGGTATTTTCAAAAGCCAATTAAAAATCTAGCTATTTAGGCAGGCCTTCCCTCCAGGCACTGTTTGATCTATCCTCTTTGTTTATTTCCATCTTGAATGATTAATTATTTTTGGATATTGATGTAATTTTAATCTATTTTGTTTGATGTACGCCACCCAGAGTAGTTGAATGACTAGATGGTTAGGATATAAATATAATTAATAAATAAATAGAAATAAATAAATAAACTTGGAAGTTTGCTTTCTAGTCTGCATCTGGCTATATTTGTTTACCTGAGAGGTTAAAGGATGTGTATGTTTCTCCACTGTAGGTATTGCACTTACTCACACATTTGCTTTACCATTTCATTAAGTCCAAAAACAGCCCTTCAAAATATTTTGGCACATTGCGATTACATCCCAGTTGTTCTTAATTCTGTCCCCTTCCAACAACTATAGTACAGATCATGCACTTATCTTCTGGGATCCTCATGTAACTCTACACAGGGGAAGTTTCTGTTGGAACTGTGTGTAGTGTATGTGTACAAAAACTTCAAAAATAAAACCAGGAAATTAAATTCTTCGAAGAACCTTTATTTTATGAATGTGGGATACTGTCCTTATGTAAACTCCAGAAAATGGTCTGGTATTGCTGCACAATATCGTGACCACATTGCCAGCAGGAAAAACGATGCCAAGTTTTGCATAGCAAAAGGCAGCTTGAATGTTGACAACACCAATGGCAGCAGTCAAGATGGTCTATAGCAGCCATTCTCGACAGGGACCATATGGCCCTCTGGGTGGATGATCTGGGCACATTGGGCGGGTCACAGACTGGAAACAGTTCTTCACACATCACCTCATAAGGTTCATTACACAACTTATGGAATCCTGATTCAGCCTGTATTTCTTTCATATTGTGTTTATGGCTGTGGCCAAAAAAAGTTGAGAATGGCTGGCCTACAGGATACCCTCTTCTGTACACTGTCATTCATGCTTGTTGAAAAACAGCCCTGACAATTGCTTTGTGGGTGAGAAGTGGTTAACTGATGCAAAAAAGGAATAAGCTTATGGGATTTTCCCTTGCATGGTGTCACTTTCTGGATGGTAGTATGCAAAAAAGGGTATCCTGTAGAACATCTTGACTGCTACCCTAAGTCTTGTTAACATGAAGACTGTCCTTTGCAATATAAAGCTTGGCATCCTTTTTCCTGTGGCAATGCAGGCACAATATTGGAGGGTTATTTGTTTGTTTGTTTCTGAAGGATTGAATTATGCCCCAGGAGAGAATTCTCATAAAGCAGGCAAAGATTTTTCTCCTCTCCAAATGCTCACTGAGAAAGTGTGTAATTATCTAGTTCCAAATTGAGGTGAAAGTTCATTCATCACTGTTTTGCACCTTATTCATTTCTCTGTAATGTTAACAATACCAACAGCAGAACATGTGGATAATATGCATGCACCAAGCCCTACTAGTTAGTCTAATGCTTTTGAAAACTGAAGAAAGAAATGGCATCTTTCTTCAAACCTCTATGGTAACTGATTTTGTTTGATACAAGTGAGCCCTTGTTTAGCCATTGGCTCAGTTGCTGATATGTTACGGACTGTATATGACTATTTCAAATGCTCAATTTTGGAGGATGGGGGAAGCCAGTATACATTGTCTAGGTAGAGACAGATGGAAATCTGTTGTTAATGGAAAAGTCTGTAGTGGAAAAGGTACGGAAGCACTCTCAGTAATAGACTATGAATGTTCTCTATCACAATAGTGTGAAAATGGTGTGTGTTATAAACAGCTTCTGTAGGGGGGGGATACAGAATTGTCTCCATACATAGCAACAGAGATATGCATTAATTTTTGCAGCTCTCCATTTCTTCTAATAACATCCTAATGTTTTCTGCTTCCCTCTCATCCAACCTGTATTAATTTCCATTGACAAAGTTAGATTACATGATTTATATTTTATTTATTTAAAGGATAAAGATGAAATAAAATCAGTGAGGAAATGTTAATTGATAGATGAAAGCATTAAGCTGTAAATATTTGCTTTTAAAGGTCTTGTATTTAAATAATTGTTTCTTCTTTTTTAAAATATAGCTGGAAAAATATCAGGGAAAACATTAAAATGCATTTTAAAACACATTTTGATATTTGGGCAGTGTTTTGGTGAAAAATACACATGCATGATTTCTAGTTCTTCCGTTCATAAAGGAGAGTGCTACGGATGAAGTCAGAAGCTGCTGTCTGAATGGGAGAACACACAATGTCATGCCATCGGGCTCTTGAGCAAATGAAGTGGGATGGTTGGACATTTTCTGCTTCAGGCAGCAAAATACCTTGAGATAGCAAGAGGAGGCATTATGTGGCTGATGAGAAGCTCCTTGCCAGGCAACATTCATATGATCTGGGACAACTGTTGCTGTGAATATTGTGGTGCTGGTTTTCTGAATAAGTCCAATGGCTCTGGCAGAAATTATTGTCCCCAACAATATCATCCACATGGAAGCAACAGTTCACACAAACTGCATCTGTGCTTTTGAGCACGAGGTGATTGTGTTGGATTCCTCATGATGTTTGAACAAGCCCTCCAAGTTTGCACTTTTATTGGGTCAGTTCACATTATAGGGGGGGGTGTTGGGAA